ACTCTGTAAACCCCCGCGTTTGCCGAAATGAAATGGGCAAACGCTTCAGGTTAGCAACATATGCTGCAGGAACAGCTCTTGCTCATCCAATCATAGGTACTTCCGATTAGCTAAAACTAAGTTGAATTAATCTAAAACTTCGTCACCCACTGGTTAAAAGCGGGTATTTATACCCAGATTAGCCAAAATATGTGAAAAGCACAATACTGTTAATAGTATTAATACTAAGGTAACGCATCGAATTCTCGGACACTAAACTTTTAACCAATAGATGCACTCCATTACTGAGGGATTCCGTACTATGGGCTGTATTATTATAAGGTATTATAATGAGCGCATCCTATTAGCCGTATTTTTATTCGACCCAAAATGTCTATTTTTAGTATCATACAAATCCTAGATATTACGATTTTTCCGAGAAATAGCGTTTCACATACGATTTCTTCAATGCAATATTAAAATTCACAACTCTCAGAGTTGTAGGTCAATTTGTGAAATTCGTCGCTCAAAAAACAGATCTTGAATTATATTTTCCAGACATGTTATCTATATTTCTAATTTCTTCTTACATTTTGTATGAGATGGAATTGAAAATTTAAGTCAAAAAGTGTCCGAGAATTCGATGCGTTACCTGAGTAGTACTTCCTCTATTCCATAAAGAAGTTGACAACCGAAGGGGAATAAAATATATATGAGAATTTGTATGCTTAATTTAAAATAATACTTCTGGTGTATGTATTTTTATTCATATTTGCACTTTTACGACCATCGTCTACAGGACATGCTGCACATTTTCTTCGTCGACTTATTCAATCGCAAGCTCTTGGGCCATTTCACAAACTGCGTTAACATTGCTCATGTGGGCATGCCCTTGAATACTGCAATCAGCCTCAAAGAGTTCAATCATGTTGACGACGCGCTGCTCGTAGTCAATCCGCTCCTCCATGGCTTCAATGGATGCAGCAACATCTCTGTAGCATTCCAGGCGGGGAGGGAGTGAGCTGTTCACAAATAACGTGGGTGTCCTTTTTCATGTGTGCAACTTGTAAACACTGTCGCCGTCTATTTTACATACATACTCATCACCTTCTGCAACGTCATGAACGTTTCGTCCAAGATGCGCATATCCAGATCAGAGAAAGCAGAATGTACCGCCAACACCAACTCTTCAATTGATGTCGTGTGGGTTTGATGTTGCAGGCACTGAATGGCATTGAAAAATCCGAGGTCCAGAACGTTCATACCCGGACTTTGAGCTGGTGGAGCACACAATTTGTTGTTCTATCCGTCCATTCGAACAGAAGCATCGTCAACTCTGACATGGGGTCTTGCATCATCTTGTTGGATCCAGATCACGCTTGATCGTTGCCGCGGCCATAGGGATCGAATCGCTGGGATAACTTTGTTGACAACGTAGTCTCGGTACACCTCCCTTGTGACTGTCGTCGGTTCAACAACATCATCACCACGCTTGCGGTTCTTGCTGTTGCGAAGAGCTTGACACTTTGACGTGAAGGCCCATGCACAGATCTTGCCGTACCAATGAATTCGCTTCGTGTTGTCATACCTCGGTCTTGCCATGGCCGTCAAGAACATCATCTTGATGATACGATTCTTTGACTGACACATCCGCGCAGGGTCATCTTCACCAGAACATAGGTAGTACCATCCATCTACGTTAGTCATATAGAGCCACTTCTCGTCTCTGTGAATGTAGTCCAGCATGTCGTTCCAATACAGGGGTACATTTCGATGGCAGCGCAGAAAGGATCGTACTTTTGAGTTTACATAGGCTTCAAATAGCTGGTGCAGCGCTTCATGGCCTTCGACTTCACAAGACGCCAGAGCGTCGTCTTTGAGACCCCAGTGGCAGCGGCAAGAGCGTAAAACATTGAGCGACTGAATGCAGTCTGAGCTTTCACGTGAGCTTCTAGCGACGCACGATCAAGGGATTCAGGCATGCCACTCTGGTTTTCGATCGTTGAGTCAAGGAAGGGATACCCGAGGCTGGCTGTGGTGTCGGTCCCCAGCTGCCAAATCTTGGAGATTGCTTGGAGGGTCACACCAACCTCCTCGCATAGTGCTTGGAGCGCTCGACCGTTGGACCTCAACTTTCGAATGAAGATTGCCGTCCGCGGACGTCAGTCGTTTGGTGATCGTGGCATGTGGCATCTAGAGCAGCCTCTGAATAGCTAGGTATATCTAGTCATCAGGAGCAAGCGATTGCGCGAAATTTGAAGTCGATCGGACAAGCATTGTGCATGACGTATTTTTGCAGTTACGTCGACGTCGTCGTGATTTGTTGTGCATGTTATCGGGAGCCTCACAGCCAAACCGAAAATAGAGCCTTTTTCAGTACGTTAATGCCTTTGGGCTGCCATGCGACCAATTAGGCTTCGAAACGACTGAGAAATGGATTAATAAAAATCAAGTCAATTTCATTATGGAACAGAGGAAGTATAAACAGAACTCCATCGTTGTTCAGCTTCATCGTGAAGCGCCATAATAACAACATTTCCGGGTATATGTAAAAAAATAATACTAGTAAACTTGCCTAATCTGTAGCGGCTTTCCGGTGTCCAACTACCACTACTTTGGGGAGAGACACGGTACAGTAGAGCCATGCATAATGAGTTAACGTTAGCACGTTTCGAGCCTACTTGTTTGTCGATTCTTGTGTCTACATTATTAGACGACGACAAACCCACACTGGTTTTCCACCATATAATGTTTTTTATTACTCAAAACGGTATCGTAACCACCGTCACTTTAGCACGCCACCTGCGTTTGTTGCGTCAGCTCAACAACGTACGCAATGGAAAACTTGGTAAAGTCCGCGACGTGCACCCAGTTGATGTTAGCCAGCGTGTCGTTAGACGTGTGGATGTATGGGTTGCTGTTGCCTCGGGCAGCTTCAAATGGAAACGACGACGGGTACCCCGCACGGAACCAACTGGCATGGTCCGACGCGCCGTAGCCGAATATGCGGTCCGCGTAGCCGATCGTCAAGTACTTGGTCACGAGCTTCTTCAAGAAATCCACGAGCGGAACGTAGCTAAAGTCCACAGCAAACGCCACCACGGGAGTGGTGCCAGGCTTGTAGTAACCGATCATGTCTTGTTGGACTTGGGCGTAAATGTCAGTTTGTTCAGCCAGATATGACTTGACGATTTCGACCGACCCTTGCAATCCCGTCTCTTCCGCCGCGTACCAGTGCACTTCCACGGGGCGCGTGGGGTTCCACTCGTTCGAATTGAGCAAATGCGTGAGCGTGTGCAAGATGGAAATCGATCCAGATCCGTCGTCGTCGGCGCCAGGGGCGTACGTGTTGTTGGTCGAGCGGTTGATCGAGTCTTGGTGGCCAGAGAGCACCACCGTGTCGTTAGCCGTTTGGCCAGAAATCGGCTCGATGCG